TATATTTCTTTTTGTACATCCAAGTGTTTTTATTAGATGCACCAGAAAGGCTCGGACAATGTACCAATTGATGTAATTAGGTAAGTCACGCGTAACTGATGCTGAGCATGACAAATTGTTCAACAAATTTCTTGAGTAGTTACGGAAGAGCTCTTTATCATTTGTAAGAAACATCAACTTTGTTGAAGTGGCTTTTTTTTATCCGTTTCCAATGGGATTAGAATATTAATAAACTGAAACATTTTATATTGTTTTTGTGTCGTTCTTTTGTTGGGCGGGATTTTTTTTTTTTTACTTATCTGGTGTAAACAATTTGCAGTCCACTCCACATGACAATAACAGATTAGTTTATGTATTCCTTAACGTTTCTACAAGCTTGTACACTGTTGTAATTTGTAGACCTTAAGTTTACAAATGATGTTCAAACGAAAACCTCTCGCTAAGGGTACTAGGACTAATGTAAAACATTATACTTACTTGTACAATTTTACGGTGACTATATGCGATCACTAGCACTTATCAAAATACGTCACTGAACTAAATGACTGACCCATTGCTCATTCAACTAGTTGACTGGCTCACCATTATTTATATCTAATCTTTGTTCTAAATATTGCATGAAGTCTCTCGATCATTACGTCATCGTTACGACCCACAGCTTCCTCTAGCAAACAAACAAATTACAACATTAAAAATATAGCTTACAACAGTATTATCGCTTCCAGTATAATTGAGACAAACAGGAAATTGCTGAGGACTCTGCTTCTGATAGCTTGGTAACTTTTGATGCGACTTAGACAAGAGGGCGATAACTTTATTCGACCTTGACCTTTGACTTTTGTACCAAAGGATAATCAGACATTTGCATTATAGTATTTCATAATCGTGCCGAGTTCTATAAGTGCCTTCAATTGTTTTTAAAGAAATTTGAATACATACCTACATACAATGGTGGAAGAAATTATGTCACCACACAATTTTTTTACGAGATTGTGCATCGTTGAAGTATCAAAACTAGTGTAAAACGGTTTTGGACATTGTTTGATGGAAGCTGGCTCATATTTCAGTCATCCAAATACACACACATATGCATCTTTATTACCAAACCAACCGTATTTACAGCAGATGATTAACAAATACTTGGCAAATATGAACATGTTCTTCGAGTAAGAAAACCTAGATTTAAGTGCCCGGCATGGCCAGGTGGATAAGGCTCTCGACTCACAATCTGAGGGTCGCGGGTTCGAATCCGCATCCCACCAAACATGCTCGCCCTTTCAGCCGTGGGGGTGTTATAATGTGACGGTCAATCCCACTATTCGTTGGTAAAAGAGTAGCCCAAGAGTTGGCGGTGGATGGTGATGACTAGCTGCCCTCCCTCTAGTCTTACACTGCTAAATTAGGGACGGCTAGCGCAGATAGCCCTCGTGTAGCTTTGCGCGAAATTCCAAAAACAAAACAAAAACAAAACCTAGATTTAAAGATAACGCCACTAATGTAGTTGACAAAAAGTGGTCACAGAGTATGTTTCTTGTTTAAATATTTGTTTGTGCCCCCTCTGGCCTCGATAACTGCTCGACATCGCTGTGACGTAGAGTGCACGAGAGGTTGAATGGAGGCAGGGGTGAGTTCATGATACCACACGGGGGTTACAGTTTCCGGCAGTTCCAAGGTGCTTCTCTTGCATATTGTTACTCATTACCTTCCATCAGCTTTTGACAGGGTTGAAATCTGGGCGATTGCCTGGCCAGCATAGTGTCTTGATTCTCTCCCCTTTCTTTTCAATCCACGTAGAATGAAATTTTCTATTTATTTCCCGTCTACTGCATAAAGTGCATGAACATTACTAACTTTTTTAGCCTTGTGGTATGGAGCAGAGCCATCCTGTAAGTTCATTACTAACTTTTTTAGCCTTGTGGTATGGAGCAGAGTCATCCTGTAAGTTGCATTGGTCACTCCACCAAAGTGATCCCGAACTGTTAGCTGTAACCGGTCTCTCGATGTACTTGTCTGCATTGACAGTGCTTTTCACAAAATGCAGGCATCCCACAACCTATCCAAAGATGCATCCCCGTATCAGCTGTCCCTGCAAATGCTCTACAGTTGCATTGAAACATGCTGGGTACAACTTTTCTTCACATCGACATCGTTCAAATTGTTTCCCATCAGACCCGTGCAGGTTGAACTTGGAAAATCACTTTGCTCCACATGCTTCATCAGCCAAGTTAGCGTGTTCTTTGGCCGTCTTGCTGGGAAACAGGCTGAACATAGGCGAGACCAGACAGTGCACGTGGTGACAGTGACCCCTGAAATTTCCTACATGCTCTTTTGAGATTTTTGGACGACTGTCGACGATTCTGCAGGGTCATGCGTTTCAGAACACGATTCTCAGTTGTCATGGAAGCTTTCTTTCTACTCCTTCCCTTCGTCCGCTCCACACAACCAGTATATATATATATCAGCACCCAGTAGCTCACTAAAGACTGGTTAAATTAAATTCTTCTCGCAATCTGCCTTGTCAACAGTCCCTTTTTGTTCAAAGAAACAATGACTGCTTTCTTTCCTTGGAATTAACTGGCAACCCTCGGCCATGGTAGCACCACACGTGCGTTGTAGCAGATAGGCTTCTAAACTCACTCTCAATAAGAACCTATATTTATAGCCATAAAACAGCTGATGCAATGCCCAGATAGGCTATAAAGCTGCTGATGTAATAATTAGACTGTAGTGCATCATCCAAGAAACACATTTTCACCTAAATGCATTAAGGACTTGAAACAGATTACGGAAGAAAAGTGTGAAAAAATTGGGCTGTTCAATGAATTTTTCCACCATTGTACACGCAAACAAACATACCTCTGTAACAAACAGTACTTACTTTATCATTTTACTGGTTATTTCACCTTTATCTTTTTTTTTAAGTCTTCTGAATGTATTCAAACATAATCGAGTCAAATGTATATTTTTATTTTAAAGTTTTGTTTGAACAAATTTGACCTAAAGTTATACTACCGTAAATAAATAGTGGGCATAGCTTGTAAATCAGTATTAAAGTGTATAATAAAACACAGTAGACAAAACTGTCATTAAAGATACAACAATTTTTAATCATCGTTAGTTTTAAGTCATACGAACTTAGTACCGTTTTCATCTAATGTAGTTAGTGATAAAATAATCCATAAAATAACGCATGCACTTTATTATATATCTGAGGGAGGGAGGCATGTGTTGAGTATTGATAAGACCTAGCTAACGTTTTCACTGAGTGATGAGGGTTAACTAACGCTTAGAGACCACGTGGCAACATTCGCAGCTGTACCGATGGATGGCGTAGATTGCACTGTGACGAACGCACACACACACACACGAGCAACGTCAGCGTTCATATACCGTAACCATGGGGCCACTAACTATGCGCCAGATGTCGTGCACTTTGTTAACATTCAAACCTGGCACGTGCATAGCTTTATTCTAATTGCACTGTTGTTTCTTTTCAGGTATCTTGCTTTTTAGCTGAACCCTAAGGCTACGCTTGTACACCTGCATAGCTTAGAGGCAGTTGGAAATCTGACCGTTGAAAATAAATCGGTTATTTTAACATATTCTGGTGCATAACAAAACATTTTTGTATAGAAAATGAGACCTATTGAGTATCCCCTGTAGCTGATCTTCATCAGGTGTTTATAAGGTTTATAATAAAATATATAACAAGTTTATCTTTACCCTTAAAGTTAAAAACAAATATATCTAAGTAAACAAACTTAATATGATGAAGCTGAAATTGCATCGTTAAATTTCTTTGGAAATCTAGGGTATCTTTCATTCACAACAGGGGGCAGTCCTGTAAAGTTTCTGATAATCAAACAAGGCGTTGATATTCGTGGAATGTGTAACGCTTGTGAAAGTTCAGCCGGAGATGATGCATATAATTATTAACAAAATAATAACTAAATTAGAGTCACTTGTGTAGACCTATATTAAAAGCATTGTTGCAAAAACACCCTACCATTTATTCCGTTCCACTTTCTATAACATTAGCACTAAACTGTTAATGATTTATTGCTTAAAACTTGTTTATTGTCAAATATAAAACAACGCTTCATCTGATGATGTCAGGTTAACCTGGTGAAACTTTGATACTTTTCACTGAGATATAGGTCCAGCTTGTCTCTGGTTAACTTGTGTTCAGGGTTACAGATGGGGAGTGGAATTCTCAGAAACTAGTATAACCCAAAGTGTATATTGAATTGAACCTCCCTTGAATTTAGACTTCGAGATTAAACAATTTTCGGAATGCTAAGTTCATTTACTAACCTGGTGAAACGTTGTAACCATATATATTGTACTCTGTATATTCAACAATAAAGAAGTTTTAAGTCTTATGTAACAGGTTACATCTTTTAATGATTTAGTTTATTATTCCAACAACAGCTAGGGAAGTAATGGACTAGTTTGAGATTTATCAGTCATCAAAGAAAAAAACGTCATTTGACATGATTAACATTAATGTTGCCAATATTGTAACTTATGCATAAGATAAACAAATAACATGTAACATAATTACAACACCACTATGTAACTTCGTTATTTGTTTAGTTTTTGGTCAAACTTAATTTTTACCATCTGTTCAAACTATATGATAGAATATAGTATTTATTAAACACGTAATTTCGATGCATGCTTTTGTTTTCAGATGTTACTCGCAGTTTAAATTCTAATATTAAACCATATTCTTCAACATGCATAAATTGACTTATTCACGAGACTTGGAACTGCGCCCAATAAACCATTTACTAACTATTGTCTCCTTGTTAATACGGTTTAAAAATCACATTACAGACTATTACGAGTAAGATGTGAATTCAATTACACCAGAGGTTAGTTACCCATGTTGTAAACAGGAAAAACGCATTGTATCCTTTCTTATTACTGCCAACCCTAATATTGTAACTCATAAACGAGAACTCTTAACTTACAAACTGTATTACATCTTTTACCAGCGACAGCTTGAGAAAGGAAATGATCTGTTAGAGGAGGCAGTTACACTCAAACCAAAGGTATCAGAAGAGTTTGCTGGTTTACAGGAAGACAAAGGACAGAGCGGGGTTCAGGAGCTAGCTTCATCGCTGAAAGAAGGTCTGAACACTTTCACGGAACGCTTAGAAGATACACGAGAACGATTAGAAGATACAGCAAAATGTTACAGTCTTCTTGATAGAGTAAGTTACTTGTTCAATTTCATAAAAGAAAATCAAAAACTTTAAGAAAGTTATTTCTGTAAACTAGAATTATGATTTTACAAAACAGAATGTTTCCACCAGTAGTGTTGTAGTAGTTAGGGTTGAGAAAAGTTCCATATTTGAACTTGAATAAAACATGTATAAAACGGAAATTAATTTATTCTCTTTGACATATTTAGAAAAAAGTGGGAGTGGGGTATCTACAAAGTTTCTGTCCTGTACAGTTGTTTTTTGTAAGGTATAATAGCCCATCAATAGTCTCCTCTTTTCATTAGTAAATCCTTAAGAAATTTGTGTATGAAAATAAATATTTTTTTTTATGCTTTCGAGGCTCATGCATTTAATAAGGTCATTAACTTAAAAACCAAACAGTGTGTGTAATCTTAAGACTGTATTTAGTTACTGAAAGGAAAAATTAATTAATTTCACCTGATAGATATAAAATCATCTTCAATTCCAAAAGATTCCAGACAAAAACAGTATCTTATCTTCTTACAAACACATTTCATGATTTTCATTTTATATGACAACAAATTATGCATATTTTTTATTTTATATACAAGGATGTTTAAAGCTAACATTTCTTTGACTTATATTTTGGAAAATTTTAGAAGCATTGACTAGTAATTTTTGCTGAAAGTGTTATTTCTCTACAGCTTTTCAGCAAAGCACAGTTTAAGCTGAAATTTTTCCTCTACTTAACAAAAATTCCAGCTCTGATTGTTGAAACATTTGTACACTTTAAGTAAGCAACCTGATCTAGGCAGTGGGTCAAGATTATTAAATATCTAATCACATGGCTCTGAAATTTTGAACTAGTTCATAAGAGCAATATATATTTTAAAAGTTCATGACTTGATGTGGTCTTGCCATAAAACTTCTTTTGATTTGTACTTTCCTACTGTGATTACATTTCTTTGAAGATATTGCAAAAGTATACAGGTAATAACTATGATAAATATATTTACCTTTGTTTTCTTGTATTTGGCCTTTTATAACTGGCTTTGTGAGTTTGAGCCTAAAAAATACTCAGCCATATTTACAGAATATTTCTCATAGATTGAGCCACATGCTTGCACATTGAAAATTCTAATTGGTAGCACTATTTACCATTTTTTCACTCTTTGATTTAATTTGTTAAAGACATTTGTGTCGTGTATTATATAGAATATTTTTAAAGCATTTAAATGTATACATAATCAAGTATTGTTTTAACTTTTATCTAATAGTCTTATGAGTGGGCTCTAGAAGCAATGAAGTTTGTTTCGAAGATGAAAGTAAACCAGCCCACTTCACCTGGACTGGTAACATTGTTGAAGAATGTTCAAGAGTATCTTGAAGACCATCCTCCAATCACACATGAAACGTTTCAGGAAATGTTGAAATTGGCAACAAAGTTAGAGAATAAGAATCTTTTTGATCAATGCAAGGTACTGTTTTAAATATTGTTATATTAATTTTATTGTAGGAATTTTGGGAACAAAGTCTTAGTTATCGCAAGTCATATTTTAAATTCTTATGTAATCATTGTGAGTTTTTGAATCAATATCTTAAGAAAAACAATGTTCTTGATCAGTGCATCAAATTTGTGATTATTATTTGTTTGATTGGCAATATTGAAAATAAGAAATTTTTATGTATAATTTTGGACTTAGCTTAAGATACAAATACATATTTAATTTCAAATGTATATCATTTGGAATTTAGCTTTCATTTAAAATAAAATGAAATATTACTTGAGACTTTTACATTTTCAAATATCATCCTTAGTAATATACACATAACAAGTTTTATTGAGGGTTACTTTATCTTATATTTTAGATTGCCCAGACCCGTTGCCAGGAAACAATGGATTTAATCCAGACTAGACGAGCTGACCTCCTGAAAACCAAGCAACAACAGGAACTAGAGACCCTCCAACAGCAGCAGGAATTAAGTGATTCAGATGCTGAGCAGTCCAATCAAACTAAATTTCAACAACAGAATTGGACACCTCAGGGTACAAGCACATGTAGTGGCTCATTCACCACATCTTCTGGCTTTTATAGGAGGAGATCAATAGCTACTTCAACTCCTCAAAGTTATGGCTGTCCTGTTGGCTCCTACACCTCTTTTCCAAGTAGCTACCATCCTGTGTCTGGATTAAAGGATACACATGTTGTTGATGACAAAGAAGAACATATCCTCAATCAAGGACTCATTACAGAAGATCTCACTACACAGGGACCAGTTGCATCAATCTCACGGAGCAAACTTGAAGCTCGAAGTAGCAGTCTTCAAAAAGAAATTCAACCTTTAGGTATTTTTAAAAGTTACAGTGGAAGTAGCCTATTTGGACTGAAAGATAAAATAATTGGCACTATTGTTGCTGGAGCTGCTTCCATTCAGGGTTCCTCCAAAGAGGGACCATCTCATCATCGACCATTGAGAAAACTGATGAAACGATGTCAGACATGGCAACTCCATGAAGATTCTCTTCAGAGGGCTACATTAGAAGTTCGAGAACAGAATGAAAAGTTTAGCATTCATCAAGCATCTGTACAAAGCAACCAGTTGGAAGTCAGTGTTTCAAGGTAGAATTCTACTAATATCATTATTTTTTTCATTTTAGGAAAGTCCTAACATGCTTTTTATGTTGATGATAGTTATATAGTTACCCAACTGTATAATACTTTCTAAAATAATTAATTGATTTGTGGTTTGTTTCAGTGGACTGTATAAATTGGGTGTCATTAGCTTTAAATATTAAACTACAATGAGAGTGTCATTGGTTTCTAATGTATCACTTGATTTAGATTATAGGTAATTATGCAATTAAAAATAATTAATGTAAATACTAAAGTAGTCAACAAAAGATTTTCACTTCTATAATAGTTAATTGCATTAACATAAACAACATCAGTAATAACATGAAGTTTGTTGTAGATTGAAAGTACTCTCATATTTAATTAGTATAATGGACATTATTTTTCCTGTTGTAGCTGTGGAATAAAAACTGATGAACCAATTGGTCCAAGCAACACGAATAGATGTCCCGTGGGGCACACGCTATCAGACCCAGGAAACATACCTGTCCCAGTGAATAGCCACCTTTTAGCTAGAACTACTAGTCTTGATCATTCAAAACTAAAAGATTTTGAGCAGCAAAAAAAAGGCAATAAGTAAGGAAGTAAAACATCTTAGTTTTTTTCTGGCATGTATTGTAATAGCAGGTTTAGCATTTAAATATGCATTGTGTTATTTAAAAGATATGGTATAATGATAAGAATTTAAAATAAATTTTAGATCCACTATTGTAGAACAACAAGATGATATATAGAAAGAAACAACTTGGAATTTCCGTCATCAAATAAGCTCTGTGTGTGTTTATTTTGCAAATAAAAGTTGGACTGGAGGGGATATGTGAAAGTGTCAAAACGTGTTTCCATATAAAATTGTAATTCTATAACTGGGGATATAAACCTTATTTTAGATTACTTTATATAGTGTTGTGTATTTACCTACCATAACAATAATTGTTTTGTTTGAAAAAAAATAAAGAAAAATATTCCTGCTAAATCTGGACATATTCAAACAAAATAAATTTCAAATGTATATAACTGAATATTAAGGATTCTTCTGTGAAGATAGATAAAAAAAAGTAAAGGAATTATATTATAGAAACAAAAGTAGTGTTTGCAGAAATGTTTTTTTTATCATTTGACTATTATACTGAACAAGTTGGTTATTTTATTTTATTGGTTTTCTAGGTTGTTATTACATATCATGAGAGAAATGATTCAGACTGAAAAAGATTATGTCAAGTCTTTGGAGTTTATAATTGAGGTAGGATAAACAAGCACTGTTTTTATTGAATATTTGCTTTATCATTTTGGGGAAATGCTTTGGAAAATATAGCAGTATTTCCTGCAACCTTATTTGCAAATTGTGTACTGTATTCCAAAAAAACTTGAATCATTTTCTAGAAACCATCCATACTAGTCACTAGAAGTACTAATTGTATCTTTAACCCTAACAAAGGCAAATTTCATTAAAACATAAACAAAAATGCAATATAGTTTGTTAATAAATATAAAAAATACTTCATAGTTTTTGAAATACCTAGCTAATAAGCTTTCACAAAATTCTTAATAAATTTTTAATAAATTATAAATGAAATTGCTGTAGTTTTGTGAAATAGGTTGTTTTCAAACAGAATTATAATGCTGTTTTTAACAAACAAACTTGATAGTTGGCCAACTAGGTATGTCATTGTGTGTTAAATGACTACTCATGTTTAGCATTTCCTTAGGTCTTTAACTATTAAATTAATAAATGTAAATAAATACACTGTAATTATTTTCAACTCCTTATGTTTTTATTTCTTTAATGTGATAAGCTCAGATTAAGAATATGTGTGTGTGTGTGTATATATATATGTTGCACTAGTAGTTATTATGGTAACATTAAGATATCTTTGCTCGTTGGTATTGATTCTCCAGGTAAACAATTAACCTGCCTAATGTGGTATATTAAATTTGAAATTATTCTGCAATAACGTTTTGATGAACTAATTATTTGTTGTGTCTAAAAAATTAAAGTTAATAAATAAAATGTATGTCTTCATGCACAAATGACACTTATAGAGCTTAGCTTTGTAAATCTTGAGATTAGTTTTGTTTTGGTAAACACACTCTTTATGCTTTCTAACTTCCTCAGCAGTTATAAACATAGTACTTATAAAGTTAAACATTGTTTTCCACAATTCTACTGGTAAATGTGTAATTTATCATAGCATCAAAGGCACACTGTACTATTCAAAATTTTTCCATGATGAAAATTTCTATTCCTTTGTTTTTTCTGTTTCCTTTGTCTTTTTTTTTTTGTACAGATTATGTTTGGTTCTAGTTCAGAAACTGGATAAAAAAGTGTGGATATACTACTCTGAGAACAACTTAATGTGTATTATTCATTTAAATAATGAAAAATATATATATATGTGTATATGTAGTAGTAAAATAATTCTTGTATGTGGAACATGTTTACTATGAACAACAAAATGCTTTGAACATTGTTTACTTTTATAATTATTTTCAGCATATGCTTACACAAATCACCATAGGTGAAACATAAAATTTTTTCTGTGTTAATCAGAATTATTTGCCAGAACTCCTGCGAGAAGATATTCCTCAAGCCTTAAGGGGGCAAAGGAATGTTATTTTTGGGAACATTGAGAAAATTTATGAGTTCCACAACCATTACTTTCTTAGTCAGTTAGAGCAATGTGAAAATTCACCTTTCCTTGTTGGCCAGTGTTTCCTTGCCTATGTAAGTATCTAACTTTGTTCTTTGTTGAATTAAAATTTACCATTATTGTTGAATACTAAAAACATTGTTACATCATAAATTGGCATGATCTTATTGATTTAAATAAGTGTTTTATAAACTATTCCTAAGTTCCTTGGTAGCAGAAGAGTTTATCTAACTACAAATATTACTGTTTTTAAGTACTAAATACTTCTTTGTGAATGTGATTTGAATATAAATTAAAGAGTGCAAGTAGGAATGAAAATAAAATTACATATAAATCAAACCATGCTCCTAAGTTCACAAAGCTGTTTTCCAGTAACAAACTAGGTTTATGATTAATAATTTTTATTGTTGTTTTTCAGGAATCTCAGTTCTATCTTTATGCCTTATACAACAAAAACAAACCCAAATCAGAATCTCTGTTGGTCGAATATGGAAATGCATTTTTCAAGGTGAGGTACAGTGGAAAAGTTTAATAACACTGTTGAAGCAATAGTTACAGATTAATAATTATCTACTGACACTGCATTGTGTGGGAAAATGGAGGGAAATAAGTAACACAGATACATTAATACAAAAAAAAACATACTGATATTCCCATCAGGTAGCTTAATCTAAGAACCCTTAATTTACTATTTAATATCATGAAAGTGTTTTAAATCTTGAAATACTTCATAATATATGTAGATTGTTTTTATCTTTTTTTTTTAAACATACTTCTTTCTGATTAGTTTTCATCTTTCCATAGAAGAAACAGTTGGAACTAGGTGACAAGATGGATTTAGCTAGCTACCTGTTAAAACCAGTTCAGAGAATGGGAAAATATGCACTGCTTCTGAAACAGCTATTGAAGGAATGCCCTCAGCATGAACCCGAACATGAGGATTTGAAGGTAAAAGTAATATGATAGATGTTTAAATCATTTCAGATAGTAAAATGAAGCAAAATAACTATTTCTGAGAAAGAACTGAGAACATTAATTTTAATAAATTCAAAAAAGTAAAAAATATTTTTTGAAAATCTTAAAATACATTATTTGTGTATGTATTTTCATAAAAGTTTCAAAGCCATTTCAGTTCAGAAAGAACATACAAACAAGGTAGTGACACATGACTACATAAACTGTTATGAGAAATAATATTAAAAAAATGGAACTGTTCTTTTACTTTTTGCCCACTGACTGAAGAAAGTATTGATTGATGGTAAAATGTACCATCAACTCCTTCAATTATTGTGAATAATATTTATTCTGCAGTAAAATCTTAAAATTATTCACAGTATTTTCCTGTTTATTTTGGTCTAAATCAGTAGCCACAAATTTTCAGACTCTGAAAATCATACTGATTTTCAATAGTCCTTTCTATGCAAAGTGGTATTTATGGAATTTTGTGTGTGTGTGTATGCAATTACAATATATATATATATATACAAAAGGAACTTGTTTTTTCTATTTGTACAAGGTTTTACCCCTATTGAAACATTTTTAAATTAAATATTAAAACGTATTTCTACTGCAGAGCTGTTTATTTCTTTTCATTGATTTACTCTGTGAGTTCCTACTTTATGGTTTTAATAGAAATTGCTTACGTTGCAGTGTGGATTTAGATTAGTTAAAATTGGTGTTTGATCATTACCAATAATAATTTCTTTATCATGTAGTTATTGTGATATGTTAGCTTTTGTTACATATGATACTTTTTATCTATACGTAAATTTGATTTGTTTTATTACACAACGTTTATGTAAATACATACATAAACTTCCTTCAAGGGTGAAGCATTAAATACCAAATCGTTCTTCTTTCAAAAATCAGCAAAGGTAACATCTAATGCATAAATAGGTGTAAAGAATATGAGTAAATAGTACTGTGACAACAGATACAGGCCACCCATACATAGATGTAGTAACTTTTCTTCCCATGAGCTTGAACCTTAGGTTCCAATATGTTTCCTCTGTTACTTGACAAAAGTCTGTGTCTGCTTATAACTGATGACCGATTTTCACCAAACCTGGTATGTATCTTTAGAATTCCTACAAATGTGTGTGTGGTGTACCTGATATTTACTTCTAAGTTATGTGAATATAGATTACATTTAATCATCATAATGCTCAAAACAACAGCATTTTTATAACCATGCCATAAAAGTTTTCTGTCTCTATGGAATTACAGGCAGCAGAAGAAATGGTAAGGTTTCAGCTGCGACATGGAAATGACCTTTTAGCTATGGATGCTTTGAGAGAATGTGATGTGAGTAGAAACATTTCTGGGATGTTTTTCTTGAAATACTTCCTTTTAAAGAAGCCTTTTTTTTTTAATGGAAATATTGTACTTTTAAGAAATTTGAATGCTTAGACAACAAAGAATCTTGTACCAGTTTTTAAATAGATATGTAATTTTATAGCAAGTCTCAAATTTTCCTTGAATGTTGATGTAAATAGAAAGGTTTAAGTTAAAAACAATGAAAAATTTATTTTTGATTTGGAAATTCCTTTTAAGAGTGGTATAGATGCCACTAAAACTTGTTCATACTGCTTGCATATTAGCAAAAAAATTGTGATATCTTCTTGTATTATTAGTTTCATGTTATTAAATGCACTTTTTGGCATAGCAGTGTAAATGCAACACAGTAAAATCCATTTCAGAAAATTGCAGTGAATTAATTTAGTACGTACTTATGAACAAATTTTGTGCCACAATTTTTAAGCTTGGTGATAATGTAATTCCTTATATGGGACATGCTGCTAAGTTTTCATATTTGTTAGGTAAACTTGAAAGAACAAGGTCGACTTCTTCGACAAGATGAATTCTTAGTGTGGCAGGGAAGGAGCCGTAAGTCTCTTCGACATATCTTTCTTTTTGAGGATCTTGTTTTGTTCAGTAAAGCTCGTCGTGATCCACATCGTAAAGGCCAAGAAATTTATCAATACAAGCTTAGCTTCAAGGTATGATTGTATAAATTGTACTAGAGATTAGTATTATATACATAAATAATCTTCAATTTTAACTAATTTAAAATGATTAAGTCCTTCCTTTGAATAGAAAAAGAAGCTGAAAAGAATGCTATATAATGGTAAAAGAAGCTTTATAAAGCTCATATGTGGCTTTTATTTTCAGTTTAATAATTTATTGTTGTTGTTTTTTATTTTAATGAAAAATAATACTTTTTTACTACTATTAATTATTAACTGCACAAACTTTATATATGTATATAAAATATTTTACGTAATATTGTAGCTAAATTTTGAGACTGCCCAAAGGTTTTTGTTTTTTTTTTCCTTGCTAGACAACAGACATTGGTATGACAGAAGAAGTTGGAGATAGTCCTACCAAATTTGAGGTCTGGTTCCGGAAGAGGAAACTAAGTGACACATTTGTTTTACAAGCTCCTAGTCCTGAAGTAAAACAAGCCTGGATTTTGGAGATTTCCAAACTGTTGTGGAAGCAGGCGCTGAAAAACAGAGGTGAGATTAACTTTAAGAAAATATCTTTGTTTATACACAGGTTATATTTTGTTTAATAAATGTTATTTTCTTCATTTATAAATATTCTTAAAAATCTTTTATCTTTATCAGTTTTCTCACGTAACACCTTGAGTACCTAGTAAATTAACAAAAACTTATTTTTTAGTTTTCTTTTTATTGTGAAGTGCAAACTTATTTCTTGTATATCATTTGTTTTATAGAAATGCGCCTGGCTGAGATGTCATCCATGGGAATTGGCAGCAAACCATGTTTGGATATTAAACCCAATGAAGATCAAATCAGTGACAGAGCCATAAATTTTCAAAGCCTTGGTCGAGGTAGAACAAATTTTGTTTTTAGAAGACTATTAAAGAGATTGATCACAGAATTTTAGTTTGGTTTTTTAACAATACTTTTTAATGTATACAACTTTAAAATGCTTCTTTCTAGGCTTAGTTATATTATATTAGTTATATAAATAAAATATGCTACACATTTTTTTTAATTCGTTTCAAACAGTAAAAGTTATCTAAATATCTTACAAGCTCCTATACTCATATCTGAAACAACTTTTTTTTGGAATGTGTAAAACAACAATTTCCCCTTTTTAGCTCTTCGATTTAGGAATTCCTTCACTGGCTCTTCATTTGATCAGTCACGTAACAACAAACGACCTTGCTCTACTATCTCAGTAAGCAGTTCTTCTTCTTCTGGCAGCAGCAACACTTCATTCCTACATTATGGTTCTCTTAACCTTGGCTTTGAACCAGGAGATAGTCCATTCTCAGCAGGTTATCGGTCAGTTACCCAGCAATCACAGTGCTCTACAGGTTAGTTTTAAAACTAGTCTTTAATTTTCTACACAGAACTAAGTAAATTATGTTTACTAATTCTTTATGAAAAACAAACATGTGGGTTCCATTTTGTGTTTTTGCTTTTCACTACTACTGTATCTTATGTAAGAAAGGAATTTTTTGAGTTATATTCATATGTATTAAGTATAAGCTTGCTCATTGCCTATTTTTTCATTGGTAAATTTCGGTAAACTGAAGATGCATTGAAAAGTCAAATTTTAGACACTATTTTAAGATGCTAGTTTACACATAAGACCTCCTGATACATATTTTACTTTTTTAGTATAATAATTATGATCAAAGTTTGAAATAATAATATTTATAAATTGCCTGTTATCTAAAAAAATTGGCCAGTAAAAAGTTAGCATTGTTCATAATACTGTTGATTTTTGAAACAACAGATAGGCTAGAAAGTGTTGAACTTGGATGACATTTTAGCATTCTTGAATTTCCTTTTACTGGCTCATGAATATAGCTCTATGTGTGGTATTTCTTAAGCATGAAAATCCACTCTATATGTTATGTATTTTACCTTTCACTTCAAGTGTACTGAAGAATAGCTATCTGCAAAGTCAGTAGATTTTCATACAGTTGTCTAATTCTTTTTGATGTTAAAAATTGTAGCAAGTTATTGAATTTAAATCCATAGCATGTACAAAGGCTAATGATTTTGGCAAAGTTACTTACTGCTATTAAAGATCAAGGTATTCAACTTCATTTGCTAGTATGAACGAAAGCTAATGATTTTAGCAAGTTACTTACTGCTATTAAAGATCAAGGTATTCAGCTTCATTTGCTAGTATGAACGAAAGCTAATGATTTTAGCAAGTTACTTACTGCTATTAAAGATCAAGGTATTCAACTTCATTTGCTAGTATGAACGAAAGCTAATGATTTTAGCAAGTTACTTACTGCTATTAAAGATCAAGGTATCCAGCTTCATTTGCTAGTATGAACGAAAGCTAATGATTTAGCAAGTTACTTACTGCTATTAAAGATCAAGGTATTCAACTTCATTTGCTG